GGTAGGATTGACTATTTATATTAGGACTTGTGATATTATTGGAATTGAGATTAGGTGTGTTTGATATTGGCAGTGTTCCGAGTTACGTTGTTTCGGTATTACTTATATTGTGTGTTTTGTCATCGTAGATTCTCTCACATATATTATTACATAATCTGTTAAACGTTTAAGTTTAAATTCTTAATCAAGACATATGAAGAATATGGATGGATACGTCTAGTACTTTTTTTAATCTTACACCTCTAGCTCACACAGATAATCCAGAAGTAGGGCACACTAGGGGGCAGTTTCAAAACACTAATGATTACACAGGAGGATCAGAAGATACAGATTGTTCTTTTTTCAGGTAATATTGTCAGCACACCGGAATTGTTTGAATGTTTTCGAAAGTTCTTCGTCCGTCGATGTCAGTTGTGCTATGACCTGCGCTGCTGCAAATTGGAATCATTTCTGTGATTCATTGTTCGTATTGTTAATATGCTTTACGTCTAATAAATTATATTTCTTACCCTTTATTGCCCCTTTTAATTCTACTCAACATCACACCACTTATAATTGTTTTTTTCAAATTACTCAGACTAAGAATGGTTTCCGACATCATGTTTTTTGGTGATATACCGTCCCAATGCTGCTTACTATCACCCATCTGAATTTGTCGGTCAGATTTGGCAACACAATATATAATTTAAAATAAGGTCGTATACCACAACTAAGCAATACAATGAGCAAAAACTGGAGAATCTTAGAAGTATGAAAAACAATTTTAAAAATTTATGACGTGTGCACTAATTCACATTTGAATGAAATAATTTCTAGCTTAGAAAAATAATTTGGGATTTATTGAATTCCAAAGATTTTTTTAAGCTAGAAAATTTCTGATACACGCACTTGATTTTTATTTACAAACCAATGCAATATTTTTGATCACTAAAACCTTTTAACGAATGAGGACTTAAGAAGTGTCAAAAAAGACAACAAAAGTTATTGATTAAATGCACTTTGATTTAATTTTTAACCTCACTCCTTTTTAAAAACATTTTATACTTAAATCTCATTACATTTTTTTTCCATACTAACCAAAATATTATATTTAACAATAGAAAAAGATACCCCAGGATTTTTTTTTCCACTTGAAAAGTAAGAATTTGAAATGAAATGAAACGAGTGACTGTAATTCAACGAACAATTTAACACCACGTTCCTGTTCTTTGTTTTATATTATGAATAATTCTTTTTAAAAAAAAGCTAGAATCATCATAAATTATCTTAAATAAAAATATTTTTTTTATAAGACAAAACAAAGAAATTCTTATATTTTTGTGTTTCACTTTGTTTAAGTGTGCCTTGCCTTAAGTGCTCCTAATCAATTTTGTACTTTTATAGCTGCTTCATCCGATAAAAATTCAGCGAATAAAATTCAGAATTTTAGATAAATATTTATTCACAGAATTCAATTTGAACTTTATATTACAACAGCGAACATAGTTTCATCTTTATTTTCTTGCTTTGTTTCAAAGCATTTGAATAAAAGGTGAATATTGCATTATGTGCCCCAAAATATTCTAAACAAATTTTTTAAATAATATTTACTTAAATGAGAATATTTCAAGTATTTGCAAATAAAGCCTTTTTTAGTAAATTATTCATGAACGATTGAAAATTTTTCCATAAAAATGACTAGTTGCATAATGTTTTCTCTTAAATTAAATTATTCCGACGTTATATAACATTTCTACTAAAACTTTCCATTACACATTGTGACATTTTTGCTGTCTTGTCACAAACATAAAATTTGTAATGATAATATAATAAAAGAAATTTTCTGTTTCTATTTTGAAACGTAATTTTTGACGAATAAAAATGATTATAAATATTATATATATTGTAATATTTTTTTACATTCATTATTTTTATATGGCTTATTTAAAATGTAAATTTTAAAGAACTGTCGGTTGCATTTTTATTTGACTTATATGTGTAACTTCAAATATAATGAAATGCATTAGCACTGAAGGGAATTTTATTTAGAAATAAGACATATGAAGAGAGAGAGCAGCAAAAAATGTCTTAGAACTTTAATATAAAAGGTAAACATAATTGGAACGCCTATGGGGTTTTTTTTACAAGATAGGGCTGATCTTCATATTTAATGGAAGTAATTCTCCTCAAGAATTATAATTTACTGTTGGGAATATATGCTGCAAACAGAAGAATAATTAATTATATGAGGAAATTCTGATCTTAATAGATGAAACCCATGCATCTAATGTGTTTATTTAATTGCAGATAAAAAAAAACTGTAATAATGAGTTATGTATTTGTGATGTTTCCTGTAGTAATTCAGTAAAATTACTGAATCATTTGCATTTGTATTCAAATAAAAAACCGTATACGATTTGTAACATGTATATGATCCCCTCGAAGTTTACTATATCTTGTATGAATCAGTTCAAATATAAAAAAAATCAATAATGTACTAAATTTCATTTTTAATAGTACATTGTACTCAGAATCTATCTATTATATATATACTAGCGTGTAAAACAAGTAAAAAATGCTTTTTCTAACTTAGAACCATAAAATGAATTGTTGAAAAGGTTTTTTTTTTTACATGTACAGTGAAAAGGCAGCTCAATAGAAAGGCGATGCATATATAAGATTAGCGCTATGATATCAAAGGGAACACAAGGAACGCAAACTCTTGGAATGCGAGCGCTCAATTCCAAGCTTTAAAAAAATAAAGAAATAAGACACAATTCCAGAAATGGCAGGCAAGGAATAGTGCAATAATATTGGCTTCAAGAAACCATCAAGATGTCTTGACACGTGGTAAAATTATGAGCAATCTTCGATAAAGGCATAGTTTGATGAATGTTTCACAAGAGTTAAGAATATACAAGAGACAATTTTAAACGCTGGAAAAGCTTCCAAAGGATAGCTATACCTTTAAGAAAGATTGACGTTTTTTTTAGCCGAGAAAAACAATGGTAAGTTAAGACTGGTATATCGTCTTGAAAGTCGAAAGAGACAGGGACCAGGCAGCGGGCAACATTGCTAAGCAGATGTGTACTGCAACCGGTTGACACGTACTGCAGTTTACTGGTGACAGACGTCTGAATAAATGGGACCAATTCATCTGTCGTTCTGAACGCCGCATACCATTAAAAGCATCCCATCAGCAGCATTTACAGTGGCTTCAAGAACAGAAAAACTGGAAATCTCCTCAATAGAGTCACGTTTTGTTTAATGATTTCCATTCTGTGCAACGATTCTTAGGGTAAGTTGAAATGGAGGGATGTAGGAACACGATTTAATTCCTCTATTATCAGAAAAAAGAGACTGCTGAAGAGGCACTATGTTGAATGGACAAACGCATCTCTCCATATTTTCATTAGAGACACACTTACCGGAGATCGTTACTGTAATGAAGTTAACCTCTTACACGGGCCTCTATTACAGGACAACATTGGTCCTGACTTTATTTTTGAGGGCGACAATTAACGTTTACAAAGGACCTCTGCTATTGAGGAGCTTCTAGGAAGTGAAGATACACGAAGAATGAATTGGCCAGCCTGATTTTACGATTTAAATCGCATCGAACAAGTGTGATACCGAGATACCTGGCAACAAGCTTGTATTCTTAGAATTACACCAGACAGCTGAAACAAATGTTCTTTCAAGAGTGGCAACTCTTACTTTAAGACATGCTGGATTATCTCGTATGAACAGACGGTATCACGCAAACATTATAGTAAGGGAGGTCTTGTAATTTACTATGGGGCTTTGATTTGCTGTTCATCATCATGTTCTGGCAACAATTTTTTACTAACTCCAATCTGAAAATAAAGCCTTTACTTTCTGCATTGTTCTATAAAGTATGCGAATGATTTCTTTCTTTTTTTTGTTATTTGCTTTCCTCTGCTTTTAAATGCTACATTATGCCTCTGTACTGTGAATCCCATAATACCCAGCTGATGTTTTTTTTCAAAATTATTGAACATGATGTTGTTTAGCTCTTGCAAACTCATTCAGTTTAATTGTAATTAATTATAAAGTAAAAAACCAGATATCCTGAGAACCGAACTAAAATAAGAATCATAAACGTAAGAGAAATTACGATTTCTTTTCATTGAACTACATTTCACGTAAACATCAACTGGGTAATAACAAGATTCTGCATAAAGTAATGAATATGTAAAAATTTTACTTTGGGCAGGAATTTTATTTATATTTTTCTTTTTAGTTTATTGAATTTAAAACCTTCACAAATATCTAGACTGTTACAGTTCTAGTATTTAAAATCAGAAAAACTTTTTTTTCTCTTCATTTCTTTACTTTTATTTTATTTTTTGTTGTCCTTTCTCTTTTATTCCTTCTTATTATTATTTCCGTATTAAACTTTACATCCACGGCTTAATCAAATTGATTGAAACATATAATTTTAATTTTGCAGGCGTAATCATACACTATAATTTAGTTTTGTAAAAATTTCAATTTATTCAAAGCAATGAGTTCTCATGAAATGGATATTTTATTTTAATGACGCTTCGTGTAGTGTAGAAACTTATTTAATGGAGATAAGCTGTGGTATGCCCCTCTTCATTTGATTTTGATACGAATCAATAATAATAAACAATCAATGTATCAATCAACTCGAGCAAAAAAAAGTGTGTGTGTACTTATGTACGCACATAAGAAGTTATACTTCTTTGGCGTAACAAGATTAAAATCTTTTTAAAAATCTTTTGCAGGGCAAGCTGGGCCAAGGACGAAAGGCGGTCACGAGCAGTGTTGAACGATACTAACTTTTAGTCAATCGGACCAGCCAAACCTAAGATAATCATGATTTAAATAAATTTAAACACCCCGCACAGGGACAATAGGACTAATAATATGAGGAGGGGGTCGAAGGCGAGAATGATCTGACCCGTTCTGCATTTTTCTAGACAAAGCATTTTCGTATCCGTTCCTACGGAACGCAAAGCAAAGGTCGCTGACGCGGGTGTATAGCTTAGTGGTAGAGCATTCGACTGCAGATCGAGAGGTCGCCAATTCAAATCCGGATACTCCCATTTTCAGGGAAGTGAAGAGAAATATTTTTTTTTTTTTTGAGAAATTTGAAGGCGGGAATAATCTGTCCCGTTCTGTATATTTCTAATCAAAGCCTTTTCGTATCCGTTCCTACGGAACGCAAAGCAAAGATTCGCTAACGCGGAGGTATAGCTTAGTGGTAGAGCATTCAGCTGCAAATCGAGCGGTATCCGGTTCAAACCCGGGTGTCCCATTCTTCAGGCTGAGAGCTTCTGTCGAGAGCTGAAACGTCCTCCCGTTAGTGTGGTTTGGTAGTTAGGAGAGGGGGGTGCCAGCTCAGGTGTCATCCACGTCAATTGACCATGGTTCAAAATTATGTGGTCCGAAGCCGAAAGCCTTCGTGTCGCTGAACAGTGCGACGTTAATATTCAATCAATCAATCAATTGTAAAAATTTACCCTCATACTATTTCTCTATCGCCCCAAAAGAAGTATAACTTCAAAAATATGTCTTAAAGGTGTAAAAGCATAGATTGATTCGAACCAGTTTGATATGTTCTCAAAAACTTTAAATTATCTCGAAACAAAATCATAGTGTTCAATGAATTTACAGGAAATACTTGTTATGTAAAATGGTTTTACAATGATGTGTGTTAACTCTTGTTTATTAAATACAATGTGTGGATTCATTTATTTAATATTACATTAAACTCGTCAAAAATTGTCCACTCCAAACTGGTTCTATACTCTCACAATAATCTACGTGTCACTCGAAATTCCTGATAGAGAACGGATGCTCTGATCTTTCACTACGGTGCAGATTAATGTGTGCTCCTCATTTTCAATGTGCCTAATGCATCTTTCAATTCGTCTTGAACATTTGGCACTAGAATCGACTTGTTAATTCGTGGAATGCTTACTGATTGAAATATATATCACTCCTACAGTCTCTTAGGAATTTCCTAAAATGTATATCTGAATTTAAGATGGGAGGATAAATTCATGGCATATTCGGATATGATGCGCTGGAACGTTGAGAGTAGAAAGGCAGATGCAAGATAGATAGTCGAATTGTCAGTGAAAGTTAAAATATCGTTTGCGAATATTCAAAAGGATTTTGTCAGATTTTTTTCTCTCGTAACTAAGAAAAACAAAAACTTTCTATCTAAAATAATTATATGATTGGAACGAGTTTCGGGCATTTCTTTCACGACATTCTTTTTTCCAAAAATATTTTTTTTTTAAAAAAATCGCTAACTATCTAAAAAGAGCAAATATAGAGTGTGATTTCCATGATCAAATAAATACTTGACTTATCTTGAGATATATTGAGATAAAATACTTGATTACTTGAAGTAATTCTTAATCGTTAAAAAATGTTTTTTTTACAATTTAACTACGCTGTTCGGTGTAACAAATTAATATTCTGGGTTTCTACGACAATAAACTGTTCTTTAGGTTTTGTTTAGAATAATAATTATGTAAATAACATATATGTATTAGAGGTCACGAAAGGAAAATGTTGAAAACACTGACAAGCCAGAAGTAATTTGTTTATAAAATATCCCAAAATATAATAAATTAATAATTATTAAGGGGATGGTGGACCTTCATAATGTCAGATTTCGGTCAAATTTGCGATTTTGATTTTTTTATACTAATACTGTTTCTTATATTTCATAGAATATCTATGTCAAAGACTTTTGTCATTTTGATTAATAATTACTGAATTATTTTTTATTTTAATCAAATAAATGTTTAAAATGCACTTTTCTTAGCTCTCAAATTTTCCCTTTTCATTGTTAAGTAAAATGCTCCTTGCGTTTTAAATTATGTCATATCTCTTAGAAAATTTCACACCTTATAAAAGAAGATACAATGCACAAATTTGTGTATTAAATTTCTAAAAAAATTTAACGGATCATATTTTGTGCTGTTTTGAATACCTTGAATATGGGATAATTGTCGAAATATTTCATATAGTATAGAAGATTTATTTTTTTTTCATCAAACTTTGCTCTGAATTTAAAATTTTTGCACAGATATATTTTGTTGTAGTTCATAAACATATAAAACAATGTACACATATCTTAAAAACTAATGCACAAGGAGCACTTTTAAGAATAGTTTTAAAAAATTTAATTTTTAAAAAAGAATCAGTTGATAATAGTTTTTTTGAAAAAATAATTTTAAATTGTGAAATATAACAATGATTTACTGTATTGATTCCATTTTCAGCTAATTAAGCTAACAATTTAGGAAATTAGATTTAATGGTCCAGCGTCCCCTTAAGCGGATAATTTATTTTGCGAATTTTATGCATTGTTGAAAAAGCATTTAAAAATTCCATTGAAATCCCATACGCTCTACACATAAATAATTTCGCAATAATTTTCACTGTGGGTTTTCAGGCTGTTAATTTCTTAAGGAGTTTGACATAATGATTATAAAAGCTATAAATAAATTTTCTATATCTTTTTAAATAAAAAAAATTCCAGTTTGAAGCTGTTAGGATCAATGTCAAATATTTTAGGATCAGTAAATTAAAAAAGGAACTGAATTTGAATTTGCGCAAAAGGGGGACTCTGAAATTAGTTTCCTTCAAAACATTCTTATTTTTCATCTTCATTGATATACCATACAGGTCAAAAATATGTTCCTATGAAACATTTTAAGTAATTTGAAAGGTTCTACTTAAATATTAATAATTAATTGGTAATCTTTAATATTTTTATTATTTTTAGATTCTCAAAGGTCATGATTGATTTGGAAGTCTAATAAAGGAATCAATTATATGAGTGCGCGTGCACTAAGATTTTACCAAGAGAAACAGCATTTTAACCAATAACAATGGTGGCTTTTGAGACAACGAGGAATCTCTTCTAGGTTTGTTAAAATTAAATGAAGTATCCAAAATAACTATGCGTGTAAGTTATTTTTTTAACCACTATATTATTCAAAAAATATTACAATAATACGAATTACAAGGTCTGTTCAAAAAGTACCCTACCATTGGCCAGGAAAAATATCTTAGTTACTTTGTGGAACTAGGATCATAATCAAATTCAAAGTAGATCTTTTGCACATACTTAGCCCAGTACTATTTCAAAAGACGTAAACATTTCTTAAAGGCTTTTTAGAATAATGTCCAACTCCAGCATCGTGTTCTGCATTGGCTGAAAACGGGATCCTTTCAGTGCCCTTTCATTTTCGCAAACACTGTGACGGGCTCACGCATCTTTTCTGTAACATAACCTCTGACGGCTAAGATTAATGGCAAATCTTTTCCAACTAAAATCCAAGAAGTAAAATACGATTATGAAATGCAAATAAGATAACTTTTAAAAGAACAGAAGTTTCAGTAAGCAAAATGGCAATTTAGGGAAAGCTATGTTTAGAAGAGATACGAATGTGAATTGACGGCCTATCGTAAAGTTACCAAGATATCGAGCCATTACTACAAGGTGCATACAATTGCACGCGCGCCCAGGTGTTTCGTACCGTGATAGAATCTTATTTTGGATTAAGATAGGACTGAGTATTTGATATTAGGACTTGTAATATTATCAGAATTGAAAGTAGGCGGATAATATAATTATTTAGATAAGTGGTCTAAGTTACGCAATCCAGTTTAATTATTGCTGTGTGTTTGGTGTATTAGATTCTCACTTATTAAAATTTATCTAAATTATTAGAGATTTAAGTTATATTCTTAATAAAGTCATATTAAGAATTTTAAAATGTCTGATCATTTTGAGAATCCCACACCTATAATTCACGCTGACAATCAAAGATATGGTCACCATAGAGCAACCATATCACAACACCCAGTAGTCACAAGAAGCCAGGTTCAGCCTTCATAGAGTTCAGTAGGTCCTTTGCAACTGCAACAAGAGCTGCACTAGCTTCTTCCCCCTTTTCACTGAGCTTTTGAATATGGCTAGAACACAAGCCATATTCAAAATAACTCATTTTTTTTTTACAGTAACAAGAACTACATAAATTCAACTAACCGAAGTTATGTGATGCACCCAAATATCAAATAGGGAAAGCAATTAACGAGGTAGGCGAGATACGAGAAGACTAAATAATTAGATCACTTAAGTCTATTCAATAGCTTTTACTTCTTAGCTACCTACTCTAGTTTAATTCTTAGTTGACAGAGCGTCAACTTTAGTATTACAATTATCAGCTACTAAATATCTACGTCTCACTTCAAGTTTAATTAATCACTGCTTCCGTTAGCAGTCTAACTTATCTCTCTACTCTAACCTGAAAGTTTCTTAGTCTTAATTTCAAGTCTTAATTTGCATGGTAACATCTTTTTCTTCGGGAGAAAGTTTTATAATATAATAATTTTTAAAGACCCAATATTTCCCAAAAGGATTAGTACTTTAAGAGAACGCTTATTGACCTGTCATAGTTTTATGCCTTTTATACCCAGTTATGGGGTAATTTCCATTTCCTTTCATCAATGTGTGTGTGTGATTTCAAGTCCCCTCCCCTACCCGAATATTTTGTTGTTGTTGCCAAGATTATTTTGAAAAAGCCAATTTATCTCGTCTTGAAAGAGATTCTCAAGAAAAAGAGCCATTGAAAGATTTGTGCTTAGCGATACAGTAACGAGCGAAATTATGTTTATTTTTTTTTAAATATGACATTTTTACGACAAATTAAGCAAGTTGTTGATCCATGTATGTTTGTTTTTTACGAAACAGTCAAGATCCCAATTGTCTTGAAATGACATATATTCTTTAGATATTTTTGTGCTTGGAAGACATGAGGGTTACTTAAAAATTTAATTCTGCCTTGACATGTTCGCTACTCTACTGTTGTTATCAATAACCGTTACAATTGCAAAAAGGAAAAAAAGTTATCGTGCCATTCATACCAGCACGACATCGATGGCTAAAATGATTGATAGATACGTGATTGATAGAATTCCTCACCAATTTTTTAATCCATTGTTCTTAAATTATTTAATTTGTTAGAGCAACGAGCCTTGATTGGGCCACTCAGAAAGGTCCGTTGGGCCACATGCG